AAATAAAAGGTTACTAGAACAAAATGGAATATAGACCACTACGTGCAGACAAAAGAAGAAATATCATACACAACGAGAATGCGACGAGGTGATGGATGACCCATACACGTGACATACAGCAAGCCAGATGACAGGCACATGACAAGTTGGAAAAGGAACTTTTAATTAGGTGCGTCTGCATGCATAACGAGCAATAGTTAAATCGATCGATTATCGGGCGATAAATCGATAGTTGCAAGTAGGAGAAATCTGGCAGTGGCCCGATTACTAGATTTCCGTTGTCGTTACCCAATAGTTGTACTCGAGTAAAAATCTAGTAATCTAGATGAATCGGACTACACTAGACTTTTTTTCTTCGCTTTGTTTTGGGTAGCTTTTGTTGTTAATATTAATCATACCCAACGGCAACAAGTACTCATGAAATTATTCAACTAAATGTTGCGTTAAAACAAAACGGTATTGAACAATTACAAAAATATGTTGATAATGAACTTATTAATCCAGAATCAATTAATTACGGTAATTACTTATACAACTTACAATTTGGAGAATATATCAAACCAAAAACTCATATTTATAATTTGGTTTATATTGGCTTTGTACTCTCCTACAAATAACGTCTACGCAATTATTCAAAGCCTTCTGCTTAAGAAAAGTCCTGTTGGAACTTCACCATAGACTCGAAAACTATGTTTCAAAAAGCCCTACACGTTACTTTCGAACAGTCATCATCCATCTACAATACGGAAATAGTATAATGTACCTAAAGGTAGTCATGGTACCAAGCCAAAGAAATTAAGATAAAATTAAATTAGCAGCAAGTAGTCTAACCGTAGTAGTTTCATCGGGTGATGGTGGTACAAGTAATGTTGCTTTTACTAACAATGATATTAGCGGTGCTGATCCGACATGCGCACTGTTTTTACCTATTTATTTAAGTTATTCACATTATGCTGTTAGTGTAGGTGCGCCGCTTCAAACTAGGTATTATTTAGGTCCACATAACAAGTTAGTCTCAAAAATAGGCGAACTACCAGCTAATATACCGAATAGACAGGTATTTACAAGTACAAGTGGATTTGCTCATCAGAACCACAAATATCCGCATATTTAGAAAATCAACGTTTTTAAGGATTATTACCACAAACTGGATCACTTAATCCATTGATAGATCGCCCAATTTAAGAACAATTTTGAATCCTCACGATCGTGCCACTATCTTTAATTAATGATACATTACTCAATAAGAATCGTCCACCATTGGGTTTAGTTACATCATTCCAGTAGTTAACAATTAGCGTTTCTTTGTACATCATTTCTTTATTGGACTGTCACTAGAAATTTGAGCGCATTCAATGATATTCTTTATGGTACAAGTAAAGACGGAGTTCGTAAAGTACACTCAGAACCCTTTGCTGAAAGATGTCCAACACGATTTCATGTAGCAGTTGGATGGAATGCAGTTTCGGGATAAGGAAATTCCAATTTTGATATTACGAGGGTTAGCTATCGAACAAACGAAAATAGAAAAAGATAAAAGAAATGAAAATCATGATAAGAAATTGTGAATTCAATTATGTCATGTGATTTTATTTGACTACTGATATATGTCAGATTTTGCAAGTATAATATATCGTTTGTTCAAATTCAGCGGTACATTTTCCCTTCTTTTTCGATAGAATTCTCAATTTTGGGTTGCATATAATCTAATGTAGAGGAAAGTCTCTGCTCCAAAATGAGACCACATCCAACATTCTTCAGTTTTGGTACTGCGTTCAAGTAATACTCAGATTTTTATTTTATTTTATTTTTTCTGCATTCTGTATTTCCATTTGGGTAATTCTTTTGAGAGTGTACCAAAGTTTACAATGAGTTCATCTCAACAGTTCGAAAGTAACAGAACTAGCACAACTCTAGCTCCTATTGACGAATGTCAAGTTTGAAAGATTTTAAAACAATAGCATCGTGGCCTTCTAGACCTGTGGACATCCCATTTTCCAGCAGAACAACCTTTTCTGGGCATTTTCATAATTTTTTAGCGAAATTCATGAGCTGGTACTATCAGATTAGAATCTATATGTGCAGCGCTGCAAAATCACTAACGGACATAAAGTTCGATAATGTTAAACACTTTCTTAGGGGAATGTTTAAAAAAATTGGTTTTTCCGTCACGTAGGCCTTTTTTGTACATCTAACTACCATCCTTCTATCAGTAATTGTTATTGTGAAAGAGGCAACAGAAGCAAAATAATATGAACTTCATTTGATAGTATTAAGGAAAATAGACTAATTGCAAAAGATACGAGAGTTTCTATCATTTTATTGATTAACTTACAAATCAACGTGGACGTTTCGACTTATCGCAAGTCATTTTCAACACAAAATGAGCAAAAGAAAATTAGGAGAGAGAAGTTACTGTACAAAAGTAACATTCAGTTATATTATTATTTCAGTTGTACTATTCAGTAACATTCTTCGTAACATTCTTTTGTACAGTAACTTCTCTCTCCTAATTTTCTTTTGCTCATTTTGTGTTGAAAATGACTTGCGATAAGTCGAAAC